TACTTCCTTGTCTGGGCTGCCTGGATTTCTTAGAGAAAGCCCGAATCACATTGTTTACCTCCTGCAGCTGCGTGGTGCTGGATGATGAAGGAAACTGGTTGGACAGCTCTAAAACCTTTCAAGTGTACTCCCTGAGCCAACAACAGGACCTCCGAATTGGTTAGAAATGCAAATGACAGACCCCTGCTTCAGGTCCACTAAATTAGAAATCTGTGTTTCAGCAAACTTTCCAGGTGATTCTGATGCAAGTTTACGTTTGAGAGTCACCACTCTAAAGTGCTTTGTGCACTTTTTAAAAAGTTATTAGCACTTTTATTTTTAAACAATTATTATTAATTATTATTATCATTTAAAAAAAAAAACATTCAATTGCTATACATCATTCGGCCGATAAAGAGAATTTACCTAACATAAAATACTTCTCCGACTGGTCCAGTTGAGAATACTAGACCGTAGCACTTTTCTTTCTTAGCATGCTTTCCTCACAAATGCAGAGTCCCTGGCTCTAGTTTCCTCTCCTCTGCCCAGGCAGAAATGCTGTCAAATGTGCAGTTCCTTCCAACAAGCCCAGTCTTTGCACTGGGGCGAGGCCTCGCTTCGTAGACTTTCCGTGCACCCTGACTAAAGCTCTCACAGTCTGTCTGGCACAGACTGAAGTTGCTGCCAAGCCTCCCTGTTGAGGAGTTACACTTCAAATAAAGGCCTTCAGCTATTTAATTTTCATAAGCCAGTTTATTGTGTTTAAAATGCTTTTGTTCAGGGGAAATGTACCTCACATGACTTTAACCCAGGTCACAATCACAGGACAATTTTACCCGAGAATGTCTAAATGGAGCAAATTTCCAGCACATTCATCTACCTGCTTTTGAAGAAATACACTCAGTACACACAGGATAAAAAAGAAAGCTATCGGTATGCCGGTTACCACCTGGTAATAGCCTGGTAGCGATCATAATTGATAAAATTCTATTGGATTTGCTTATTAACTGCCCCCCCCCAAAAAAAAATGAACAAGTAGAAACATTTGGGCTACACTGAGCGTTTTCAAGAGTAATGCCAAATTTCATTTTTGTAGTGCCAAAAAGTCTACTTGATGTTTTCCCATTGCTGTTGCTTTGCCTGGTGTTTGTTTTGGGCTGTACAATAGTTTTATTATGGAGGATGCCAGATGAAAATGCATGCAGTCTTGCCATATCCAACCAGAGATGGACTAGGAATTCAAGGAAACGCTTTCTCTCTTACCCCTGTCCATCTGTTAATCTCCTTTGTTTGATGAAGATCTTGGAAAGTCCAGCACCTAAAAACCAAGAGAAGACACAGAAGCCGTCATTAGAGGGATGATTTTTTCACTTGGACTTCAGGAGGATTAGAAGTGGTGAAGGACTAAGTCATTCCCTTTCCTCAGAGCAAGTCAGTTCACCCTACCATATGATACGGAGATTGGATAGGTTATTAATTAATACACATGATATGTTCTAATACTGGGACATCTTGCTAACTTGCTAAGTTTTTAAGTTATTTATCAAAGTTTTGATTGCCTTGTGAGAAAATAACACATTCTATATCTGAAGAATTACTGGAATACTGGTAGGAAGATACGTTTTCAGTAATGATCAGTAGGCTTGAATTATACAAAGTAACACAAGATGTCTACAAAACATAGAGCTCTTTTCCCAGAGTGATCACAGCCCCTGCTGACTTAAGAATTCTGAATTTTGGCTAGCCACGTGGTTCAGCAATCACATGCTGTTCTGTGATGCTGAGGCTCTATGGCAGGTTTCATCTCAGGTTCACAAATTGGGATTTCCCTGTACTTGCCAGTCATGTGCGTGCACCTATGACCCTAGCTCCTGAGGCTGGGTGTGGACCATGGTATGAGGACCCCGTTAAAGAGTACCTGTTACCAGCATTCTTGCACTTCCTCTCCCCACCTCTCACCCTCTTTCTCCCCCTCTTGTCTAAGAAATGAATAGATAAATTGTAGGGGAAAATATGGGAGTAAAAGAATTTAAGTCTTAGGACCAGCAGTTAGCGTAATGGCTATGTTGCTGGACTCCCATGTAGTCGACCGTAGTTCGAGTCACAGACTTGGTGGCTTAAACTCATGTCGGGTGCATGTGCATGCGTGCCCAAGATCCCAAGAGGAGAATGGAGGAGAAGGAATTGTGGCATGGCCATCAACCCTGGGGGGTGATTTCTTGCTTTCTGTCTCTCTGTCTCACTCTTTCTGGAGAGTGCACACACCCTGTAGCAAATACCTCTTCAAAAAAAAAAAAAAAGAAAAAAAGAATTAAGTCTTCAGGGTGAACCTTATATATCAAGGAGTTTATCTACTCCTAAAAATTCATGGAAAAATGCATATTATGAAAGAAGTATTTTTAAGCATATACTTTTAAATATTTTGTAGCAAAGTAAAGTCTTTATTTTTTCACAACTTTTTGAAGTCCCCACCTGTCTCTAGATTTCTTTATCACTACTACTTCCACCTTCACCCAAACATATCATGTTGGGATTCCTCTATTCTCCAGTCTTCTAATGTGTTGAACTTCTTTAATCCATCCTCCAGGTGTAGACCCAGCCCAGGATGGAGGAGTCAGCGACCTTTGCTGGGGAATTTGGAATCCAATACCAGTCACCTTCTGGAGGGGGTCCATTTCCTGATGAGACCCTGAATTTCTTAAGAAAAGTCCACCTCTTTGTAACAGTTTTCCTTTTTTGTTTCTCTCTCTCAAATCAAAATAACTTTAATAGCATTATGTTCCTTGCAATCTATCTTTCTTTCTTAGACTAAGATGTAAGTGACTTCTGGGGTTTGGTGGCAAACAGCCAGTAGTGCCGCTACATACCTTAAGGGAAGCCCTTAGAGTAATCCTTCTGGAATAGGCCAGGCTGGGTACTGTAATTATTGTTATGTATTCGGGTTATTTGTTATAATTGAGGGCCATGTGCTTTGCCTGTACTCTTATTTAGTCATCACATTCTTTTTTTCCTTTTTTGTTTTTAAGAGAGAGATTTTTGCTATAGGGCACATGTGCTCACCAGAGAGACAGAGAGAGACAAAAAGTGAGAAATCACCTCCCGGGGGAATGCCATGCCACAATCCTTTCTCCTCCATTCTCCTCTCAGGATTTTGGGCACGCACGCACACACACCCAGTGTGAATTTAAACTGGGTCCAGGACTCAAACTGTAGTTGCTTATGTGGGACTCAGTGACGTAACTATTACACCATCTGATGGTCCCTAGTACTCACAATTTTATGATGAGTACTCTGAGCACTTATGTAACAGAACCATGACTAGGGGTTCAGGTCCACTTGACCATACTGTAGAAGGTCCAGGGAAGATTCCAACCTGGTCCACTTTAAACAGTAGCAGAAAGGGCTGACCTCAAGGTACCGATTGAGAAAGTCTCTCAGAAATGATTCTGCTGTAGGCAATGGAGAGAGATGTGTGTGGATGCAGGAACGAGGCCTTTCTGCAAGCAATCTTCTGACTTGGGAGCCAAAGTCCATTCTCAAAGACGCAGGGACCAGGCTTGCTTCTTTATATCTGGCCCATGTCCGATGAGGCATATGGTACAGGGATTCTTCTGAGGACCTGATGGTATGCTAGGCTCTGATGGGCAAATAGCCAGCTTCTAATTACAAACTAACTTGTGATCTGAGCTTTTTATTTCTTCTCAGAGAGGCCTGGTAATCTGTGGGCTGCCTTGAAAACCTGGAGCTATTCCTTCCCATCCCAGGGCGTGGCTCCTTAGGAGGAGCTTCTAGGGACGGGCTTCAGGGGCCCTGCCTTGGAATGTCTAAGACAGGACTGTTTATGGTTGCCTTTGGCATTTGATTAAGAGAATGATAGGCACATGATGGTGAGCAGTTACCTTCATTAGTTATAAAAATAAAGATGGCTTTCACATATTTTATGGCCTTGTCATTGCAGACCCTTTTCCCCTCTCTTCCAGCACTTTGACTCAGTTTCTGGATATCAAAGTAGACAGAGCTTTCGCAACTTTCCACCCCATTACTACCAAATCATGTGTTCATATCCAAGGCTCCCTAAATGCAAAAAAAAAAAAAAAAAAAAAGATTATTAGACCAAGTTGTGGAGTGTAACAACTGTGATGAATATGGAGTCCCAGTTTTCCACCTTCTGTATTTTGCTGAATGAGTGTCTTATTTCGCAAGAGCTGGTCATACTTAGTAATAACTATTTGAAAATATTTTCCATGAAGTCATCTGAGCTTGTGGGATTTTTTTTTTGTCCCTTTTTTAATAGCATACCTTCTTTTCAGTGAATTCTTTTCTTTTCTTAGTTTTGCATGTCGCTGGTTGTCTGTTTTCTTTTCTCAGGAAAAATGTGATGTTTTGTACTCTCTCCTTAGTTGTTAAGGTTGAATGAGCCTCAGAAAGTGCAGGAGTATGTCCTAACCGTCATGAACAATAATGTTCTGGGTGTATAAAAATCCTCACATTAATGACAGTTTCTAATCACATGCTCTGCATCCCACATTTAGGAGTCCCTTTCCAACATATGTCAACTGCTGCCTGCCTTACAAATCGCTCCAAACCTGGAGGGCTTTTATGTAGGTGGAGGCTGAGGTACCCAGGAGGTTGTTGAGTGCCAAAGGCTGGCTTTGACTCCATTGCCGAGGCAGGTGCTGACATATCCCTTTGGCTAGGGAGGCGCTTTACATGCTGGAGACTAAGAGAGAAAATGGTAAAACCAGCTCTCGGGGGAGTTTGCCGAGAAAGCCCTACCCTCCGGCTTCATCACACGTTTGCTGAATTCTCCTCTTCTAGGAAAGTGTGTGCTGGCTTTTTCTCTTCCCCCAAGACATGGGTGATTTGCTTGACTCTTTCTTTAAAGGATGCATTTCTCTGCTTGCAGTAAGAAGCTAAAAGGCTGTGGGGTTCCGCGAAGGGCGTGGGTAGCTGAAGTGAATTGCATCCCGCTTAGGGAGCCATCTTCCCAGTGATTGATCTGTGTGCTTTCTTTCCTCCAGGTTCACCAGTACTATGGCTGTCTCCCAGAAGAGAAAGTTCCTTACGTCAACAGTCCTGGGGAGAAACTGCGAATCAAGCAGCTACTACACCAGCTGCCACCGCATGACAATGAGGTAAGGGACTAGTGGGGCTTCTGCAGACTTTTCTTAGAACCTTCTGTGAATTGCACCCCTTTCCATAATCAGAAGGGTGAAATCAATGAAATTGCCCAAGAAAAACCCTGTCAATTTATTTTAGGTTTTAGCTTCCTTAATTAGAGCCAAAAGAAACTGGCCAACACCTTCTGGAGAGTGTTACTGAAGAAACAGAACCTTATTACGCACTGGATTAGCCTCCGTGACTGGCACCGCTAGCTATTTGGGGGTAACCAGGGAGCATTAAAACTTACACATGCAAGTCCAGGTTTTCTTAGTCGAAGAAGAATGTGCTACGCTGGTTGAGCTTCCCTGGGTCGCTTGAAGCCCTGCAAGAACTCTGTGAATCTCGTGAATTTTCAGCATCATTTCATACTAAATGAGTGCGTAAGTTTTCACAGTGTACTGCGGTAGAAGTTACAGATCAGACTCACAGCTGTGAGCATCTATCTGTGTTTTAGTCATGGTGAAATCTCGAAAGTACGGCTTACAGACTGCCCTGTCTTCTGAACCCAGAAGCAAGGTGCTGTAAGTGGGCATTTCTTATCTTTGAAATCAACTGATCATAAAGGGTCTCTAAATGTGCTTTGAAAAGATCACTATGCTGAAAGGAATTAGATTTAGAAACTAGATATTAATGTTTAGATATCTGGTTTTAGAAAACAGTAATTCTGGGGACCAGAAGATGGCATAATGGTTACATTGCTGGACTTCCATTTAGTCGACCAGGGTTTAAGTCCTGGACCTGGTGGCTTGAAATTCACACCAGGTGTGTGTGCATGCCCAAAATCCTAAGAGGAGAATGGAGGAGAAGGGATTATGGCATGGCCATCCCCACTGAGTGGGGGGGGGGGGGGA